CCCTTTGATTTTTCCCTGTTCCCTGCAGAGGAGGAGGCCATGGTGGAGGTTCACATCCCGGGCAGCGAGCACCAGGAGTCCATATTCCGTAAGAGGACTGTGGGTATCCTGGACATGGGCGGAGTGTCCACCCAGATCGCGTACGAAGTCCCTAAAACTGTAAGCTTTGCCTCCTCACAGCAGGTTATTATCTGTGCAACTTTCCTCTTTGCCTTTGGAGTTATTTTAATGCATATTCCTCTTTGTTTTCTTCCTTTTTTGAGTCCTCCATCCCATCACATTCCCCAGGCAAGGCCAGAGGCGATGACGGGAGTCCTCCACCAGCTAAGAACTCATTTGTGTTTTGTTCACCCTTCCACTCCCATGATCTGCCACTCATTTTGGAGTTTTATTCTTTGTGTGTGTGCATGTTTAGTTTTAAATCTGTTAGGCAGTAAAAAAACTGATATTCTGGAGCTCAGGAACCAAAAATATGTGGTGGCTCTTACGTAAGAGCTTATATAAGAGTGACTTTGTCCTTCAGGTTGTGTTGGGAGAGACTGAATTAACAGGACATGGGGGTGACAGGTTTGTTTAAATACCACCTACACCCTCAGCACAGTTCAGCTCTTGCAGGAAGCAAATTGCTTTGTTACAAGTCTCAAATTGAATATAAATTGCTCCAGCTCCACCGAGTTCTAAGCAAATCCTGAATTTTTAAGGTTGAACCTCCCATTAAATTAATTGAGTGTTAAAAAGTGACAGCAGCATAAAAACCCTGTGTTTTGGCTCTCAGTGCACTGTTGTAATGATCTGTATATTGATTTGTTTGAAGCCTCCCTGTGAAATGATGTGTTTTCGTGGATCCAGGTTTTAATAACTCCAGACAGGTGGTGTAACAAAGAACTGGGGCTGTTCAGTGTTTAGATCCAGAGCAGAATGCCCCAGGCAAAGATGAGCTGGGAATTTGGGTGACTATTGATGGCTCTGTCTGAACATAAACTGCTATAAAATGGGTGTTTTGGTCATTAAACCTGTCCTGGCAATCAGTGCAATCACTCTGGGGTGGGAACACTGAGTTTAGTGGCCACAACACACATTTTTTCATGGGAGAAGATACTTCAGGGTCCTTGGGAGCTGTTCCTGCTCTTTGCAGTTCCTGGAGTGTCAGGAGTGCCAGTGCAGTTCTCTGCAATTAATATTTTGCTTTCCCTGTGAAGCAGAAGGTGATTCCCTTGGTTTGGTACAAATGAGGGGGGAGATGATCATCCCTGAGGAAAAGTCTGGAAATACTGGGGTTATAAAGGGTTGTCCAGGGCAGTGGTGGAGTCCCAATCCTTGGAAGTGTTAGAAATAAGTGGATGTGGCACCTGGGGACGTGGCTTAGTGGTGAACACAGTGGTGGGTTGATGATCCTAAAGGTCTTTTCCCACCTTAATTCCCTGGGATTCTGTGTTGACCTGGGAGAAGCAGAACAGATGAGTGAGGGGTGAGGTCAAAAGATGTCCCAGACACCCAGTTGTCCAAAGAACTCGTCTGAGGTCCTGCTTTTCATCCTGTTCACCCCTAATCTTGGTGCTTGTTGTTGCTGCAGGAGGAAGTGGCCAAGAACCTCCTGGCAGAATTCAACCTGGGCTGTGATGCCCATCAGACAGAGCACGTGTACAGGGTCTACGTGGCCACATTCCTTGGATTTGGAGGGAATGCAGCCCGGCAGAGATATGAGGACAGTCTGTTTGCCAGCACTGTGCTTAAAAACAGGTACCTGGGGGATTGACCCTGGCAGGGGGTGGCTGCCCCATATCCCTGGAAGTGTCCAAGGCCAGCTTGGAGCAACCTGGGCTAGTGGAAGGTGTCCCTGCCCATGGCAGGAGTTGGCACTGGGTGATTTTCAGGTCCCTTGCAGCCCAAACCATGCTGGGAGGAGGGTTCTGGGCTCACCAGTGACACAAAGCTGAATTCCCACCCTGAGGTTTCCTTGCCCAGGGGAGGTTTGGTCGGTGCTGTTGGGTCTCAGAGCTCCATCTCTCTGACCTGCTCTTTGCTCTTGCCCACAGACTGCTGGGCAGACAGACTGGCCTGAGCTCTGATTCCCCAGTGCTGGATCCCTGCCTGCCCCTGGATGCTCAGGATGAGATCCAGCAGAACGGGCAGAGCCTGCACCTGCGGGGAACGGGAGATTTCCACCTGTGCCGGGAGCTGCTCCAGCCCTTCATGAACAAGACCAACGAGACCCAGACCTCCCTGAACGGGGTGTACCAGCCTGCTGTGCACTTCCACAACAGCGAATTCTATGGATTCTCCGAGTTCTACTACTGCACAGAGGATGTGCTGAGGATGGGAGGAGATTACAACGCTGCTAAGTTCACTAAAGCTGCCAAGGTAAAATGTGCCGGAGATCATTTTCTGCCTTTTCAGTTTTCTTCGTTCAAAACATCCACCCTCCAGGAGAATTTTGGTCCAAAAGTCTTGCAGCAAAGCTTTTCCTTCAGAGATCCCAAATCCTTTTTTTTGTTCCCCTGCAATGAACCCTCACAGGGCTCTCAATTCCTCATCCAAGTTTGGACAGGGCTTGGAGCTTCCTGGTCTAGTGGGAGGTGTCCCTGCCTGTGGCAGGGGGTGGAACTGGATGATTTCAAGGTCCCCTTCCAACCCAAATCCATTCCAGGATTCCATGGCTGGGTTTTCTTTTAGAAGATTTATTTTAAGGCACAATAGTAAAATTGACTTTACAGGGAATGGGATTTGAGGTATCATATTCCAGCAGAATTGCTGATAATGGGAAAATCCATCCTGCTTTCACCCCTTTGCTTCTTTTTAGGAATGTCTTAATCTTTAAAAAAAAGATCCTTTTCCTCCTGCTTTATACATTTTGTGCCAGTTTTCCAGGTGTTATTCCCAAAGGGATCAATCTGCTGGGGACAGGTAAAACTACAACATAAAGCAGAGGAATAAGACAATTTGCTGAGGCCCTAAAAACAGCTTGTCTGTTTTCCACCTCCAAAGAGCTTAAGTGGTACTGAACATTAATTTAACCCCAAACTCTGAGTTAGAAATTTAAAGAAAATACTCATGAAATTTGTGATCTGTCCAAGGGAAGCTGTTCAGGTGTTTCAGAGCATCTCACCCCGTGGCATTTTTACCTCGTGGAGACAAAAGCGCCGTTGAAATGTTGATTTTCTTCGCCCTTTTTTTGTTTCTCTTGCAGGATTATTGTGCCACTAAGTGGTCTGTCCTCCTGGAGGCAGAAGCACCGTTGAAATGTTGATTTTCTTCACCTTTTTTCTTTTTGTTTTCCCTTGCAGGATTATTGTGCCACTAAGTGGTCTGTCCTCCGGGAGCGCTTCGACCGTGGTCTCTACGCCTCTCACGCCGACCTGCACAGGCTGAAGTGAGTGGTTTGTGTTTGCCCAGCAAATTCCCTCCTGCACAGCTGCCAGGCCAGCCCTGGAGGGCAAGAATAAATCACTGCAAGTGCCAATAAAGCCTTTAAAAAGCCCTGATAATTGTGGGGCTGATTGTGCTCCCCAGTGCCCCTGCGGTGTAACTGCTCCCCTGACCTCATCCCGCTGTTCCTGACTGTTCCTGACCCCATCCTGCTCTCCCTGCTGCAGGTACCAGTGCTTTAAGTCAGCCTGGATGTACGAGGTGTTCCACAGTGGCTTCTCCTTCCCTGTGGGTTACAGCAACCTGAAAACAGCCCTGCAGGTTTATGACAAGGAGGTGCAGTGGACCCTGGGGGCCATCCTGTACCGAACACGCTTCCTCCCTCTAAGGTACCTCTTCTTCCCTCAAATACTTGGGAAGAGCCCTTTGAGGTGGGAGTTTTGGGGTTGGGAAAAGCGTGGTGGGGCCTCAAATTGTGCCTAATAAACCCTGTTTGATTAAAATGGGCTCCCATTCCTGCGGGGAGAGAAGTCGCACGTGGAATTTTTGCCTCCCGAGTTATTCCCGTTGTCCCTTTTGCTGCTTTCCAGAGACATCCAGCAAGAAAACTTCCGTGGAAGTCACTCCCACTGGAGGAGCTTCTCCTTCGTGTACAATCACTATCTGTTCTTTGCCTGTTTCCTGGTGGTCCTGCTCTCCATCCTGCTCTACCTGCTCCGGCTCCGGCGCATCCACAGGCGGATGCTCCGCAACGGCTCCTCTCCCTCCCTCTGGATCGAGGAAGGCCTCCCACCACAGAAGATGGCAGGGCCCTTGTGAGATGCTGGGATGGAGAGATTTTTTTTGTTTTTTTTTTTCTTGGACTTGTTACACAAAAAAAGCCATTTTTGCCTCAGGGTTCCTCCCTTTTCTGTCCCTCGAAAGCGTTGGAGAAGCCGAAGGCCCGGCGAGGTTTGGGAAACGTGGCTTGGTCTCACCAGACAGTTCCTGCCAAAAATGACTTTCTTTTGACTATTGCACTTTCGTGTGTCGTGGGACGAGCTCGAGCTTGAGAGCAGAGTGAATGTGAGTCCTCCCCCTCTGGGAGAGGCTGAGAAATCCTGGGATGAGCGAGGACCTCCTGGGTTTCCTTTTCCAGATTCCAGGATTGGCATCGCTCGACTTCTCAATCCTGAGCCTCAGTCAAAGGAAAGGAAGTGCAGGGGTTTCAGAAGCAGAAAGAAAACCCCCTTTTAGGACAGTTTTCTCTGATTTTTTTCCCTTCTGGATTCAGTCCTGTGATGGAGAAGAAAAACCTCTTGCACCCAAAGCTGTGCTTCCAAAAAAAAAAACCTGCTTCAATCAGTTTTGTTCCATTGTGACACTTCCCCCCTTTCTCTTGGAAGCTTTATCCTCATGGTGGCACGAGCCACTGCTTTTTAATCCTTTATTTCTCTCCCATAATCATGCAGAGATCTCCCAGAGACTCCAGGAAGGGGAAGAGAACTGGAAAAAACCTTTTGTTTTCATGCACAGTGTCTTTCTTTTTCTGAGTCCTCTGATCTGTTAATTTATATTTTATTTAAAAACCGTTAATTTTACTTGAAAGTAAATTCGTCCCTGATTAAAAGTGGGATTTCTATGAGCCTCGGAGGTGTGGATGTCTTCTTGCACAGTGTCACTTTTTGTGGCACTCCAGTGCACAGTTGTGTTTCCCAGATGGAGGTTGACAGATTCCTGGGTGCCTTTAATTGCTTTAAGGGCTCAAGGCACAGCAAGGGGCAGATTTTCACAGCCCTCAGCCAAGTGCCAACCCCAAATCCCTGCATTTCCAACTCCACTGTGCTTTGGGTGCTTGAACTACCCCATGGAAAACAAGTTTGCAAATTCAGCTCTTCCCTCCTTTGAAATCTGGTTGTGGCAACCCAAGAATTAGAATTTCAGTGTCTGTGTGTGGTGGTTTTCTGGGTTTTTTTTCCCCCTCCTCCTCACACAAGGCTTTGTAGGGTGGCACAAGGGCTTTGGAAGAGGAGGAATAAGTTGGTGATATCTCCCAAGGAGAAAACTAACCCTGTGTTATTCTTGCAGCTCTTTTTTTCAGCTCCAGCTGAAGGAGGGAAAACAAAAAAAAGGGAGCTTTTCCATCCCACCCCTGGCCAGAGAAACATGAGTCCTGTCAGAGCCTCAGCAATACCTGTTTTCACTGGGGGCCCGTCCCGGGCTCGGATTCCCAACCCACAATGGGAATGTTGATCTGTTTGTGTCTGTGTGTGCATTAACATGTTTTGTTTTCTCTCTCCTGCTTCTCCCGTGTCCCTGCTCCTTTCTCCAGGCCCATTAAGGCACTCAGGGAGCACAGGGAGGGGAGGGCAGGGCCCTGCTCCCTGACCCACCCCAGTGACCTGGAACGGGCAGGTGAACGACCCCAAAGCTTTTGGGCTCCACGGGCTCTTGAAGGCATCCCTTTGCTCTTTGTTGGGGGGGAAATGTCCAAATAAACCCAAACACGGCCCCTGATGGAAGAGGTAGGTGGGAATCACAGAATCCCAGAATCAGCTGGGTTGGAAGGGACCTCTGAGATCATCCAGTCCAACCCTTGATCCA